AATGATTCCATTAGGTCGGATGAAAGCTGGAGTTGTTTGAAACGACAACCGCAATCCGAAATGTATTCATTGACCGACCAACGCCACAACACACATCAAAATAATACTATTCATATGGCGTCCACCGCCGGAAAAGACCAGCATTTTAATGCATTTGGACGAAAGGAAACGGGTAAACGATGCGTTCGGTTTTAATTTTCTGGAAAGCGTCGAACTTAAAACGGCGATCAATTGATGACCGGTCATTCGGTACTTACCATGATTGAATGGCGACAATACAGCAAGCTGACGGTGAAAATGAACGAAAACGGTCCGAATCACGAACGACTGAAAATCACCAAACGTGGAAAGAAACGCGAAGGAGAGAATGCATCCAGCGAAATTGTGAGGTTATGTTATCGTGAATTCAATAGCTGTAGCGGTAGGCGGATCGCTTCTCCGGTAGCATCATGTTCAAAATCTAATAACCTCGGTATATGTGGTATACCTGTGCTCAGTGCTGACAACGTTGACTCTCTGTCATGGTGCCTGTGCCGTCGCTGTGCGAGCACGACTTTAGATAGTACTATCACAGAATAGATTAATCTATATTAATACTTAATAGATATGCATATATTTGTGTAATAAACTTCATAAAATGTATATTATAATAAATATTATATTATATTTGATCAAAAATCATCAATCTATTCTGTGGTAATAATAATGACAGTTATTACTTATTTATAATAAGTAATAAATACTAATTACTAATTAGTAATACTCCGTTATGATTATATTGACCAAATCTATGGTTAACATCAGAGTTACTCTTAAACCTTCTGCTGTTTTGTTTTGTTTCTAATAATATTTGCAGATTTTTGTGCCTTTTAGTAAGCTTTTTTAACATTTTTTTATTAATATGTCTTAATTTGTTTATTCTTATTTAATTTTTGCCTCTATTTTACAAATTGAAAATAATAATCTTATGCCATATGCATAAATTACTGTCACTAAAATTAAAATATAAAATGTGAAAAACTAAAAACTAACGAGCGACTAGCAATAAACATTTTATGTTTAACCTGTTATTGCTTGTAGAACTATTTACTTCTAGACATTTTGAATGTGTTCATTGATCATTGTACTCAAAATATTGAGTTCCATATGACTGTCTAACATCAAGAGAAAATCGTAGATAGAAACTGCACATGACAACATTTGATTTTATCCCAAAAACAGAATTATTGCTGTGATGATTTTCAATATTCAAAAACCAATGAATTGGATTAATATTTTTTTTAATATTTTGAAGAACCAACTGATAAAATTCCTATATACCCGGTTGCTAAATCAATCTAAAAAAAAATAATAAATTTATTATACTGAGAAATTAATGTTTGAAATATGTTACTGTTATGCAAACTAGAACTAACCTTTCTTTTTATTTTTGAGGCAGAAGACTGTATATGAAAGAAATTATATGGTGTTTGTTTTTATTTTCTGAATGCCTGAAAAAAATGAACTATATGTATTGTTCAATGAAAGTGCACTTGAGCTTTCAAAAATAATATATTTATCCATTGTTAAATCAGATAATTCAATAGAAGTGGATGTTGATGTATCATTATATAAATAAGATTGAAGGGAAGTCAAAAGCTGCCAAATCGAACCAAAAACTGCAGGCTATATTCTTTATAGAAGGTCAACTGATGCAGAAGAGGTTGCTACTGAAACAAAATGGTCGTTGGAGTCTTAGTAGGTGTAAATAAAATTATAATAAAAAATAAGAACACAATACCAATATCATATAATACTATGTAGTATGTACCTAGTTTTTTTATTTGTTAAAAATCTATAAATTTCTTTATGAAGACTTTACAAAATGAATACAGTATTTTGTGGTTTTCATATCAAATTGGTTGTCTGTTTATTCATTTTTATGCTGATTGGTCACAGCCATGCCAGCACATGAACAACATTCTTGCAGATTTAGTTTTATAAGACAAATTTCAAGTAACATTGATGATAATATTTGTACGAATAAAACCAGTAAAATATTCTTAGATTATTTCAGAACTTTCAAATTGCTAAGTGTTTAGCTGAAGATTTTTCTGAAATACCTATCATTCAAATATAATGTATCTGCTGCATCAAAATGTATACTATTTATTGTTGGTGTTCAAGTTGATGTATTAGATGGAACATGGAACTGATCCAATATACCTAGCTAAGTAAAAAAATCCAAGCACTGGTACTTTTAAATTTACCAGTAGCTAAAATGTAAAAAGATCAGATAGATTTACAGGTTAAAGAATCTGAAGATTAGAACTTCATTCTCGAGTCTTAGCCCAATTAACTTTTTATTTTTATTTTTAAAACAAAAATACATGTAGGTGCCCACGTCTTCCCTTCCCATTTCTTTTTTGAATTTAATTCAAACTGATTTTTGGTATACATTATTAAAATGACTAGTCTTCAGTGTATATACCTACAGTTATTTTTTCATTTTTTTTTTTTATTCTGAATATACATTTGCCTGTGGATGCTTGTGCTCCCCTTTCCGTTTTTTCTTAAATTTAGCTCTAGTTGATTTTTTTTATATACATTTTTTAAAATACCTATTGGCCAGCTTTTGGTGGAGCACCTCTCATTAATCATTCGTTGATTACCTAATTATTGTAAATAATGTTATGGGTTGAGGAATATTGAGATTATAGACTGCAGTCTTCAGTGTATGTACCAACTACCTACAACAGTATATTAAAACATTTTTTTTTTTTATTCTTAAAATAAATTCCATTTTTTTCTTTTATTTAACCCAAGTTGATTTATCCATATCAATATTTAAACTTTGATAACCAGCTGGTGCTTTCTAAAAAATAATTTTTAACTTATATCACGTTCTAAAATGGGTATATAAACTATAAAGTGCCGTATTTGCTAATGGAATTTCTTTCTTAAATATGATGTTTGTGAATTGTGATCTGTGGGTAGGTTCTGATGGTACTGGGTTATTGTTTTATTTTTTTCTCAATCTTTAAAGGTATTCCAATATAATATAGAATATGAATATAAAAAATGCCTTTTAAAATACGAAAATTTAATCAAATACCGTTATTACGTTATAATATACGTTAAATTATAAATATATGTTAATAATAATCGATTTCGATAATTGGTAAAGGTACCTTACTATCTTACCTGACTACCTTAGGTATATCGTTGTAATAAAACAATTCCTAAATATAATGCAGATTACAGGTAACGTAGGTATGTACAAAAATAATTAATTAGGTAAATTATAAATATGAACTATCTATATTTTTAATATTTTTAATAATTATAAGTATTAACAATTTATATAATAATTAATATATAATTTTGTAGGTATAACTTTCGTGTCATGACGTTGGATAATGTAATCAATGAGTAGACACAGAATAAACATTCATTACAAAATTCGTTTTTATTTTAGCACAATAATAATAATTGTTATTATTTTATTATAATCAACATGCTTATTATTTGTCTCCTATTAATTGTTAATTATAGGCACAACTAAATATAGTTTATTTCAAAGCAATACATTACAACGCTGTACAATATTATTTTAACATATTATTACTTCGACAAAACAAATTACAATATAATATAGTATAAATAATTATATCTTTAAAATAATAATAATTATAATTATAATGTTACACAATATTTTGGAATGAACAACTACGATTCAAATTCATTAAAAATAATGAAATTCAACGACAAATAAAATTGAAAACATCTTATTTATTATATTATTACTGTACCTATATGTGTCAATATACTATTTATATTTTGGGTTACTAATAGGTTTTTATTAATTTATTTTAACTTAATTGATAAATTTAATATAGTTTAATAGTCTATAACAGAGGTATTCAAACTGCGTCGCGGCTCCCGGGCATCGCGGGAGTTGTCGAAGGGAGCCGTGTAGTATAATTGAAAGCCAATAAATATTTTTACGAAAAATGTTTACTATTATCATTGAGGCACACCGGTTGGGAAACGTTGAATTGTCTACAACAATCATTCGCTAAATATAGCTTTAATTTTTTTATTTATGTAATATGGTAAATAAATTATAAAATATAAATTACATTCATATAAACATTAATTTTTTTGTCATTTATAATTTGGGAGCCGTCAACATTTTGTGAAGACTTAAAGGAGCCGTGTGATGAAAAAGTTTGAATACCTCTGGTCTATAACTCATATTATAAGTATGGCTATAGGGTAAAACAATAATGGTATTATACTATTATGTACATAATATATAATAATATTATGTAATGCTGTTATTAATTTAGTCGACGTTGGTTCGCATGTAAATAATGACAATCGCCAAACAAAATCGACATAATATATTAGCATAGGTATTGCTAATAGTAATAGTTCTAGTAATAGTAATAATAACAATAAGAAGGAATAAAACAAATTGGTTAGGTACATTAATAAAACTATATTCAGTATATTAATTATACACGTATTAGCTATTACAGACTGACACAGTATTTCAATATCCTAACTAACGAAGGTAAAATTAACTAATCTCGCGTAATAGGTAATCAAATAATCATCTAAAATCTATTTATCAGTCATTATATCGTTTATAACATATTAATAATTTATTAAATATGTCACAATAATATATTAAATATGTTACAATAATATATTTGTTTGTGAAACGGACCGCTCGAGTAAATATTAATAATAGTGTTAAGTACATCATAGCAAGCCTAATCGTTATTTTGAAAATTGTGAATGTTTAACAATATTTTTTACATTTTAATCTATAGTAGGGGAAAATAACTGTAGTAACTGCTGGATAGACGAAAAATGTTGAAAATAAATTATAAATATTAATTGTGTTGCCAACCAAAGATTGATTGCTAACTGGTCTGGATATATAGGTAGTTGGTACCTACTAGGCTGGTACTATTATTTGCACGGAAAACTTAAAATTCTTAAAACACCCCCTCAAATTTCGATCTAAGAAGGACGTGTTCAGTACCATAGTGAGGAGTTCTTTACACTTGTCAAAGTGAAACCTCGAATACAGCTTCCAAACAGATAAATAGGCATAGGTAGCTAAAATAAAATGCAATTTTCACCATCACAGAAATTAAATGTAAATAACGAAATAGGTAATTATAACAATCGAACATTTGATAATTATAGAACTTGGTGGTTATTTAAAATAATACTACAACAAATAACAAACCACTTTAAAGTAATATGTAAGTTAAAAATGTGTTATAATAAATATCAAAAATTGTTACAAATCGTAACTTTTCAGTCACGTTATCTGCACGATAAAACTGCTAAAGTGAATGCATGGTAATTTGTTATATGACAAATAATAAAGTTTCTTCTTAATGTGAATGGTTGATATTCATAACACGAATACTATTTAGGACAAATTAATACATCACAAATTGATAAATTAACAAGTCCAATCGTAAAAAAAAAACTCCTTGTGGCCGTGTCACGTGTACGATCCGAGTTGCGTAACTTTTTTGTGATAGTTTATCAAAATCTACTTACAACATGTGTATTTGGCATATGTTTTTCGTATGAAAAGATTTGTCTCTGAAGGTTTACAGATAAATGGAAATAGGTGCATGCTATAAATTAAACGATTGTTAGTGCACCGAAAATTTTGTTTTTTTATTTGACTCGAATACATGACAATTGTTGCTATGCATATGATAATAAATTCAGAACATGGATGTTGACAAATGTATGGGAATGTAATGATATTGATTAAAATGGTCTGTACATTTTTTTTTTTTTAATTTGTATAGAAGAGGCTATTTGAACAAACGAGGGACCTAGGACAAGTCAAGACGTCCTACAGTCGACGAATGTAACTAAACTGTCATAGTGGCATCAAATTGAAGTACAAATGTACAATGGAATGTATAATACTATTTGGGACGTTTCGTATGAATAATAATTAGTATTTATATTTAATAGGGTTTTTTAATAAACAACTTACTCGTATATTATAGATTACATTTAAATCGTAGCTAAATCATTGTACATAAAACAATACTGTAGAGTATCCCCGATTCTTTTTTTTTTCAGTCGTTTCATTAGTGCGTAATTTTTATAATTCTAAACTTAAATTACAAAGAAAATACAAATATATTATAATAACATAACATAATATTAAATACCTAATACTTTATTTGCGGTGATAAGACTGATCGGAACTCGCGGTCGACAAAACTACCGAGAACGATCTGTAATGCCCGTTTAAATTGAATATTATTATAAATAATGTCATAATGATGCATTAAGTATTTTACTGAAGTAAACATTAATCAATTGCTTAAGTTTTTAACTCAGGATTAACACCCAACAGTGTCTACTTAACCATCATCGTTTGTGTCGTGAGATTGATACTTAAACATTAACGGAAATCAAAGGGTGCTTGGGACTTAGCCCCACTAATAACAAAATAATAATTGTAATATTTATGAATACTGTCCAAAATTTTCATTCAAAAGTACTGTGTCATGTATAGAATATTTTCTTAGTGGTAAAAATATTGACTTAAAAAAAGTTTTTGTTCGTTAATTTTCTTGCGCATGAATGATAACCAAATGTCATTAATTTTAAAATTAAATTATAAAAACCAGGGAGCTTATTGCTTCTGCTGCATATAGATGTACGTTGGCTGTGTGTAGATATACGTTGGTTTGTATATTTAATACATTGAGCAGTGAGCACTCGGTGCACTGGGCAAAGGAATCGATGAAATTGAACTTTCTGCACACTTTTTTTCAATACCTATTTTTAAATGTATGTATATGAACAACTATGGAGAACATTGTATCACATTTTCAAATCTTAGGTATTTAAATTGAAAATGTAATTAAGTTTTAAATGCAAAACAATTTTTTAATTTTTTTAATTTTTGAAAACCTACCCGTTGGCTGTTAAACAAAAAAAAAAGATTTAATAATTCTGTAACATTAACTATAATACGACATTTTAATATAGGTAGTTTTTAAGTTGTTAGAATCCCCTTCCCTCTCCCAAAAAAAAAATAAATAAATAAAAAATGAGTAGCCGATTTCCGCTTATGTAGTACCTATCTACTTAGCGACTATTCGAAAACAGAACAATAAAAAAATAGAACGCTAGGAATAGTATAATACTATAATAGTATATACTATAGTGTACAAAATATCATACGTAATCAACGACACACATTCAAAATCAGATTAAAATAATATTTCACCTACTTAACAATATAAATATTAGTTTAACAAGACGTGCGTCACACTTAATACTTATTTGTAACTCATCGTATATAATAATTATGTACAACGGAATGAATGCTAAAAACATGTATTAACACGTTAGAACGTGGAAAAAAAATTTTAAATAGAAAAATAAAGTTACAGTGGTGATGTTTTTATGCGCACGAAAGACAACATTGTGTTTGGTATTGACGCAAGTGACACATGTTCATTTGTTTTACGTTCTTGCAATTGTGTTTGCTGTGATCCTTGCATTCATCTTCTGTAACAAAAATCGTATACAAAATTATATAATTTACAATAAAACATAAACAATAACTACGATTTTTCGTAGACTCGTAGCACGCTTTAACACTAATGCAATGAGTTTCGAGGTGTTAATTTATATTTTGGGTGGGTTGTGCACGAGAGTTGAAAATGACCGACAATTTGGGGACTATCTAAAAATATAACAAATGCTGAAAATCAGAGTAATTTTGAACTGCAATATGTGCAGTTTTAACCGATCAGCTATCTAAATCATTCTAAGCAATACGTTTTTCGGAGGTTTTTGGACTTCAAAACATTGTAACTGCACATAATACGATTCTGGATGTCTACATTTTTTCCGCACGCATCGTTAGTTATTATTTTATCGGCCATAACGTATCGGAGAATTATTATTATCATCATGCACATTATATGCATCTATATCACGTGTTACGATGACATTGCGTATGGTCAAGTTTATTATGTAATAAACGATAAGTAATAATCGATTTAAACCCTAAACGATCGTCGACTGTGAACACTGCAGTATATTGCATATTATATGCACGTGCATAGACTATCATCGTCATCGGTTTTTTCCCACCCATCGCCCACCCTTCTTAATGAGATCGCTACCCTTGTCGAAAGTGCTCGTACAGTTATGCGTGTTTTTACTTGTTGCGCACTGCGGTCCGGTGCAAGTCTTCATCACCGGTGGCCTTGGCTGGTCGCGGCAGGCGGTGCCGGCCGGCTTGTTGGTGCCGTACCAGACGCACTGCAATATTCGGTACCTCAGCCCGTCTTTTTCGCATGACGCCGTACACTGAAATCAAACGGCAGGACATTGTAAAAGATGAAAATGTATATTAAATATTATTGTGTCTATACGCATATAATAGATTAGAGATGGGGGAGCCCAACTATAATGACGGCAGTTGCGGACACTGCGGGTTTTGCAGATAATATACGAATATCAGCCGCAGTAGTAGAGTAGCGGGAATGATAATTAGGCTGTTTAATGTCGTGCCCTGCTCTGTCTCCACTGCAGTTTTATCATTTGAATCGTATTAATATATCTCGACACATTGTCACTATAGTATGAAATGTCATGTATGCAAATAGGTAAATACAATCTCGAATGAGATGATTCCGGGACGTTTTATTAGTTTTCCTCATTATAATATTATATTGTGTTGAGACGTTTTAATGGGTAGTGATACGCATGCACTTGTGTACATCAAGCACCAACCATTTCCCGTTGCACTTTTATTTCCCACCTATCATGCAGTTATATTGTAGAAATTATTCTATTTAAACCGTCTTAGAATACCTACCTACACTCCTTAACTATACAAACTAGGTTTCTATTTTTTATAAATAAATTATTGTACTATGCATTCATACTTGATGTTTGTACAAATACTACTCATTTTTAATTAGTTTACCTATATTGTGCTATTTTTTAGGTATACTTATAACTTCGCCTACATAAAAATAAAACTTTTTCAAAACAATAAAATTTACAATGTAGATAAAATTGATGCCATATTATGTCACCTAAAATTCCCTTAAATAATCCTACGTGTCGTTATAATTTGGAAATAGTGCTGTAAGACCTAAATACCACAATAATAATGGCGCTAAACCAATCAATAAATGATCTGAACTGTAAGTCAATCTGTGATTATAAATATTATTAGTATAATATTATAATGATTCAATTTTAACAATAAATTAACTGCGTTATCCTCGACTAAATTCTATAGATTAAGTTTTAGATTTTAATTATTGCATTGTACCATTAGTTATGTTAGCATATTACACGAACGTTTGAAAGATGAACCTATTTGCAAAATCATTTTTGAAAAAAAATCAAATATTTATACATTTAGATATATCACAGGACACTATATATTTTTAAAAATTCAAGGGATTATTTTAATTATTAATGATAAATTATAAAAACTTTTAAAACGCTGGAGTATAATAATATAATAATAACTGCCTGCTAAACTTTATGATTTTTACATAAATTATTTATATTATATTGTAGGTGATCGTGCGATTTCTTTTAGAGAAAAAAATGTTTGACGTTCAGCATTTTTGTTTTGAAATTAATGCGACATTTGATATATTATTCAAAATAAAATATTGTGGACAGAAAAATAATGACATGTCACATTAATTGTATACAATTAATATGTAATATTTTTTATTTTATATGTATGGATATAAATGATAAATTATAATGTATCCATTTCGTATTCTATTTAAACGTAAATCGCGTTTATGTAGATATTTACCGATTTCGAAATCGAATCAATATGGAACGGAGATAAATAAAAATATTATGTTTATCTTTTTCGAAATATTTGGGTGGTAAAAATCACCTCAGTGTATACCATATATTATACTAATACTGCAGGGGAAAATATTAAAATGATAGGTAATACATTTAATATAGACGAAGATTGACGTTACTCGTGCGAGTGTTGTCTACGCACGTCAAAAGTTGATTTCATACCTTATTTGTATGCGAGTCGAAATTTCACACACTTATGCAGTGTTTGTGACGTGTTCGCATATTATGTGTGTGTGAGTGAGTGTGCGTTCGCGCGCGAGTGAGAGGGAGGTAATGTGAACATATAATGTAACAAATGACGTTCTGTATATATTATAATAATGTTTGGTTTTAAAAACAAAAAATTAGAGTATAAGCAGATCTCCGAACCGTTCTAGTTGAATCAAGATTTTCAAGAAGAAAAATTCGATGGGGAAAAGTTTCGTACCGACAGGAATAGTTTGCAGTACCTATACGTATACCGACTCGTATCGGAGTCTGAGTCCGACACGGGTCGGTACGCATCGCTTGTATGTCGCGCGTGTAACTTCTTGAACGCTCAAAATTGCAGATGCGGATACAAATAAAATAAAGTTGTCGTTATTCGTGGAATTTCGGGAAACCGAAGGTACATTTATCCGTAGAACTGCAACTGCAGTAGGTTAATATCATAGTGATTTGTGGGTAAAAATACGAGTGAACACGCAAGCGCGCACACAAACACTACACAGCTTCAAAAATGGTCCAGCGCGTTTATCGACCTTCGCGCGACAGTTTCATTTACAAGCGGCGCAAATTGAGATAACGCACGCACCCGCTCGGCGGTGTATATACGGTCGCAAACAACTTATAATTGACAGTGACGACGACGCGAATCGAAAAACTCGATTTTTATCCCTTCTTTCTTCTCGCTGTTTTAGTTTTTTTCTTTCTTTTTCACTTTTTTCTCCTCGGTTGCATTATTTATCGACGTCACCCGCACACACGTACCTACCCATACGCGCGCACACGCGCACACTGCAGTCTGCAGACACTTACCTCGGACCACTCGCCCACTTTCCAAGTGCCTTTGCACTGATCGTTGTAGCATTCCTTCCGGTTCACCGGCTTTTCGATCCCGTGGCACGCCTCGTCCGATATAGTGGCTCCATCCGAATTCTGACAGTACACGTTTCGCCTCTGCATCGCTGCGCAAAGTGGAAAAAAAGGGGGTGACGTGTTTAAAAATTTAAATAACGTTAAATATTTACGGGGAAATCTATAGGTCGACGAAAACAACTAGGAGGCTATAATATATATATATATATATATATACAATATATATTATAGTATGTATATTGTATATCCTGTATATATACGAATATATTTTATTTCATCCACAAATCCCAATAACTAGATAAAGCTGGGTTCTTCGAGATGTTTCTACCATTTAATACCATTCTCAGTAAAAACTGAAATTCATTAATTTTATTCGGGCATTTAAAAAAAAATATTTTGTACGAATCAGTAAAATCTGATTAATTTATATTATTGTTTTTTTTTTTAATTCGTAATTAAAAATTAAAAACTTAGTTAGAATAAATTAAATTATTCTTTTGTTTATACTTTTTTAACATACATTTATTTTATTTAAAAATCTTAAATTACATTATTTGCACCTGGTATAACTTGTGTGGCATTTTTTACTACCTACATATAGTATTATTATATTTGACTGATGTGTGACTACAGATTTTTTGGTTGTACATTTTATCTTCTACATTGTATCTTAAAAGTTCCCTTTCCGTGACTAGGAAAGTTGAACAACAGCTTGGCGTATTGTTTTCAGTGATTTAATTTGGAACCCACGATATGGAAATACATTTTAATGTATATATATTTTGTAGTGGATTAGGTAGCACAATAGTTCACGTTATGAAAATAAACAGTTATTAATTTTCTGATTTTATTTCATATTTGTTTATAATATTAATATATATTATTTAAACATTTTAAATAAATATCAGAATTTTTTTTAATAATGTATACTTAATTAAAATTTTCAAATAAAATAAATGTATCTCAAATGCCAATAAACAATTATGCATGATTAAATATATGTATAATCAAACATAACATAACTTAGTTGTAATAGTTTAGTACTGAAAGCTATATAAATAAAATAAATAATCCTTACTTAGTGTTTAGTTTTTAATTTTTATACCTATTTAGTAAAAAATCATGTTATAGTCTTCTGATATGGATCGATCATATTATACTGTCATGAATTTCTACCTAGGATTGTACAAATTATAGTAATCGCTTGAACAAAATTATGGTTTTCAGCTTTTAGTGATTACGATCTATTGCATTTATTAATGCTAACATTATCTAGTAAAACTTTGCTGCTCTATAATGATCGTGGTTTGTCGGTAACATACAATACTCAAATATAATATGTTTACATATATTTAATCTCTTTTATATTTATATGATCAATATGTTACCGTCAATGGAGAAAATCAGTCATCGACTAAATACATAATATCTTGTATGATAATAAAATGCCTAATTTCTACAGAAAATTAGATAGTTGACATAGTAATTATTAACAGTAACTGACCAAATATCGTAGCTGTAATCTTTAGACAATATTAATACTATTATACCTAATGTTCTACCTCTGACTTCTTAAATCCTTCTAGTTATAAATATTATATTCCCATTGAATCGAGATAGGTAATTGTTATTTTGTATAATTGATTTTTGCTTTACAAAGTCCGTTTTTATTAATTATAGAATCATATTTATTACGACAACGTTATCGCCAAAATACTATTGAAATAAGTTTAAATTACTTATTTTTACTACCTAGTGTAACGTTAACATTGCCTAAGACCTTGCTACGGTCAAACTTACTATCTTTAGCCAATACAATTTAGTTGTTGTATACTTGTATATTATTATAGAATTGTCTATAAACATTTTTCAATGTGAGATAATTATAACGTTTCCAACTTTGCCTATGGCATTATTTATTAACTTATTCAGTGCCTGAATTTGATCATTGACGGTAATATTATAATATTATATTCTTATTTAAGTTATTTTAATAACAATAATGGATAAACCGTTTCTCCCTCTCCATCCTACAAACACAACTGTTTATATTTTTATTATTGGAGTAAATTGTAAGTTTAAAATAATTAATAACTATATTAATAATGTTAAAATGTGGTCGGAGAGGGGGGATAAATGTCCACCCTTTTTACAGATGTGACAAATGCTGCCTATCTATAGTAGGTACTATGATATTATAAGTTCAGTCTCTCACCAGTATTCCAGGTGAAACACTTGGACTCCTCACACGGTTTCCATTCGGTCACCGACCACTGCGGACAATCATCCGTCTCGCACTTTTGTATGGTGACGGGCGTCGGCAACCGGGCGTCCTCGCACAAGTTGTTGTCCACGCTTTGTGTCATATTGTTTAGTTTGACCATGCAGTGAGCTGCCCTCATCTGCGAGAAGGCGGACGATTATGAGACAATAGTGTACGGTTAAAATTTATATTGCCGAGAGGCGTAGTTCACCACCAACGAAATAAATTATAAATACCTACGTCATCGTAACAAAATAAGACAAAACCGTACCTGAAAACCGTTTCCTCCACAAGGCGGAGAGCAGTCCGACCACTCGGTGATGACCCATTCGAATTTCACGCTCTTCCGGTCACCTGCAGCCCGAAACAAAGCTTGTGTTTAATTATTCTTTTAATTAGTTACAATATTATTATCATGAAACTACAATGCTATCATTTTTATTAAAATATTAATAAACACCTCTATTATGTGTATTATAGCATGTTATAGGTACCTTTGCCGAGCAAAACGGGTTTGCCGAACATGTCCTCCTCGGTGGTGGTTTCGATTTCTGGCGCTGGGTTCGCCGGTTCCTCCATAAACATTCTATTCACCCGTGCGTTGCTCACACCCTGAAACGGCCACAGAGCCTACTCATTTTATTAGTATGAATGATTGTCAAGATGTTTTGCCGATGGAAAATGAAACAAAACTTTCCCCAGGCTCATAATATATTTACGGCACAACTCAAACAAAATAACGTGATGTTTACGGAAATCGACTGTGCGTCGGTGCGTTAATGTAAGGTATTTAAGTACAGGGTTCAAATAAATAAAACCAAATACCTACGTGTATTATATTATACATGCAAGGGTTTAATTGTGAGATATAATAATAGGCAAAAAGTGGTGATGGTATTATGTAGGGTTGGCTAAACTATATATTGTATATTCGAGTAATATAATAATAATGTGTATTGTACTATATAATGTGTGTGTATATATGTGTGCGTGTGTGTTTAGGTAAGTGATTAATAATAATTAAAATAAAACACTATTATATATTAAAGTCAACGGAATGTGCAACAAAGTGTAATAATAATATATATATACAATATTAATAGATGTAAGGGAGCTAATCATCTACGGTGATAACCCAGGAAATTCAGTTTTATTTTCCTTTATCTCACCTTGAGGTTAAAAAGAAGACTGTGAAGGTGAGGCAAGTTTCGTGAACTTCCGGAAGTGGTGGGTTTTGGGGAGACGTCTATAGCATTTTTCTCTGTTTCCTGTTTACAGACACAAAGAAACGTTGTAATGTACCAACTATACTATTTTTTTTTTATACTCATACACAATATCTATATATAAGACTCGGGTATAGTATAATACTCGTGTGTATGCGCCAACAACGTTGTTCTTAAACGGTATAATCAATTTCGGGGGAAAACAGGTCAGGTTAGATCAGATAGTATATAATATCAAAAATTGAAAGTAAAAAAAAAAAGTTAAATGAAAAAAAAGTCAAAATCAAGAAGATACTTGCCACTACGTGCTTTTCGGAAGTCGCCGTGCTCGTTACGGTTGACTGAATGGTGGTAGTTTTCTGTCGTGACTGTTTGTGTTTCTGTTCGCGATTGTGTTCGCCTTTGATGCGTTCGTGGCTGATGTCAAATGATGGTTCTATCCCTTGCGGATTCGCGTATGAAGGGTTCATGCCTTTAGACGAATATATCATGACGAATAAATAAATTATTACAACAATAATAAATTAACATCATATATTATGCAATACAACTGTGGTGTGACAACACGACTAAAAATGTGTTTTGACAAGATGCTGATGACGGGAAGGGGTGGATTCTAAATTATATCGATGATTATTTACAATTAGAGTAAACAGTTTTATTTTTTTCGATGCTTTTACTATTAAATCCGCGTATTGCTCCGAAACATATATGTCGGTCAAAAATTCGAGAAATAACCTCTTTAATATACAGTTTATATTCTGTATTTATGTGAAATAGAAAATGATGCTATAAACATTTAACGAGCTTCGCAGTCCGAAAAATCATACACCTCACTTGTCAATATAGTAGTTATACCCCTAATCCCTATTCCCTTGTCATTATATTTAGGTACAATGCAATATTACATATTTCAATAGAATGTCTAAAATTATGTTTAAAACGAAATTAATTTAGATTTTAATCGAAGGGTAGACTGTAAAAATAACTAGTACAACAGTACGTAAATCGTACCTGGGTCTTGTTGGTTCAAAGGCTTGTCGATTTCTTCGGAACTCGGAAACTCTCCTGGCTGGGGTTTGATGTTAATGTTCATTGTGGCTTGCGCGTTACCGGCTGTACAAAAAACATACATTTAAATTACATACGTTTGAGAACTACCTTTAACTTATTATTTTACAGTTGTATACATGATTACCAATCATCAGTACTTGTTTTTATAATTAAAACAAAAATAGTTAAATCCATTAAGACATAGTCTGGTGCGTTGGTTCACAATAAAGGATCACCCTACATTATTTATATATTCCTTCGATACAATACGAATATAGAACATACCTAAGCGGCTAAGTAACTAATAACATAATATTTTACTGACGAATTTCCATGTAACATACTTTTACAAGTATAGGTCCCGCGGTCCGAGTATGTGGTGGCCCGGATCTTGAGTATGCCTTTTTTCGATATCCGAACCTTCTTGCCATTTTGCAATAACTGGCCGTCTTTTGACCACTGTATTTTCCCTCTGTAACTCATTAATATTAGTCACTATATGTATTATATACAAATAATAATAGTATTATTGTTCACCGTTCACATTCAGCTGTTCGATACAAAAATATAAAATTTACCATGCTTTCCATATGCTGAATGTATAGTGTATACGTATACAATATATATAAAGATAGGACATAATATTATAACAGTATTATAATCGCAAAACCATGTCGATTAATAGCATTACATTTAATAAATTCTGATCAATTTAAAAAAAAAGGATTTATTATATAAAATTATAAACGTTATAGTAAAATTATTATTTTAAATAATACAGCACGTAAATGACACTAACAATTCTTCGTTTACTCTGACATCTGAATTACATTAAGCTCGTGTGCATAATATTAAGTTAAAACTTTTAACTCATCTTTACACGTAGGAAATACCTACCCGGATCGATTGAATTTACAAAAAATGTCTTTACGTCATCGACATACGAAATAAACTCGCGTTGACCCGACGACCCACGTCCGCGGCGGTCACGTTTCATTTTATGCACCGCGTTCATAATAACAATGGTCTAAAACAATAAGATGAGATAGATATATTATATCCTTTATATTATAACACGAGTTCCCAGAGGGCTATGCCGAGTGCACTTCAGGCCTCAAACTCCGTGTAGACGCGTAGTTTACACCCACTGCATATTCTGTAGACCTTATTTATTATAGTATGACGTCATTGATCATTATTATATTATAATAAAGGCTGGTACGTATAGTAATATGACGTCATAATATGTGCGTATACTGTTATAATATTATGGAAAAGCTTGGAGGCTACAGAAGTGACAAGGGAGGCTTTTGCTTTTCATGTGAGATATCCCGACAAAGTATTTTATAGTAATATTTTCAATATGCAATCAAAAGATTAATACAATATCATATCACTATATATATATTTTGTAAATGATGAGACAGCCTTAGCAGTTGTCCAGGAATTTTCGATAAGCGGGGGTATATTAACCACTATCGTCCCTCCCTGAGCATCCCACTGACGGTGGTTGCTGGTTTGTTTTGTGACAATACCGACTGCGCATACCCACTGACTCTTAAATATGTTTATTGAACAAGATGAAGATCATAGATTTGATTACGAAGAAGATTTTTTTAATACATTAAACCTTTTCATAGCTAAAGATGAATGAAAATTTAATGAAATAATTTATTTTAGAAGTAGTGTTTCGCATTCTTAGAGACATTCATTTATTGTTACCACATAAGTTGAAATATTGAAAATTATATAATACTGTTATAAAATATCTTGCACGTGGTTAGGTTAGGTATTTTGTGGTCTCTCCTGACAAGAGGAGTACCTGCGCACACTTATGATTATACTATAGATACCTCTTGCTGACTGGGCACCGCATCTTCATTTCCACCCCTCGGTACACCGTCGCCTCCCCGCCGACTTTGAGCATGACGTCCTCCTCGGTGGTGGCTTGTTCGTATTTCTGGGCTACATCTGACACCATGACTGCTTCCTGCGTACTGCAAGCGTTCGGGTTGCAGAGCCTGCTATCGAGTGGCTTGTCGGTGCCGCAATCTGTGTCCGGTCGGTTTATGATGTGCCCGTGGGCAATCCTCTGCACACACTCCACCACTCTGGTTTTGACGCCACCGTTACACTTTTTACTACACTATAAAAAGTAAAGAACAGATTCGTTGTTATTCATTGAATGATACGCACAGAGTTAGTTACATGTGAAAATTATAGTGATACCGTACAAATGCAAACTAGGAAACTTACACTACCTTACAGCTCCACTGGGGCATAACATTTAATTAAATGATTCATTTTTTATACCATAAATAACAATATATTTTTTAAATAATATTAATGTTTTAAATTGTATTGTCAAGAAATTGGTACGTTAGTGATAACATAACGATTCATGGACTTAAACTATAAGTGAAATAATATCAAATTGGAAAATGGAGAACAGACACAAAATAAATTAAGAAAATACTTTACTATATGTACAAGTTATAGTGTTTAAAATTCATCTGTGAGTCGCCATGTGGGTCTTAGTGGTGAAAAAAATAAACGAAATTCTTTATTGTTCCTGTATAATATCAAGAAACTTATAACATGATTTTTAACAAAATTAAAATTGTTTCTATTACAACTGCTAAGAAAACATGTCATATAGTGTTAAGTGTCATATTACTCATGTAACCATGATAGACTTAACAATAACGGGCATAATGGACACAGAAGCTTAACTATAAACACAAAATACAAATGAGTTAAAGACAACGATTTGAGTGTTTGGTTTGGAAAATGTATTTAATAATATAGTGTTTAAAATAATATGCAAAATATATAGTTATTATTTGAAACACTATAATATAAAATACATTTTACAGCCGATTTGAAATACGAAGATACATTTAAAAAAAGGTATATTCCAAAATAACTACTCTTAATTTGAAATCCAAGATTTATCACAGCGGTTATGGGAACGTACTTTCGACCATTCGGAAGTCCGCCATTCCGTGGGGCAGTCGATCATGTTGCACTGCTTCCGATCCGTGGGCGGGGGCTGTGGACACATGTTGTTCGGCACTGTAGCTGTGTTTCCTTCGGTCACCTCGTGTATGCAGTTGACCTCACGCATCTGAAGCCCGATGCCACAGCTCTGCGAACACGGCTGGAAGTCGCTAACATTCCACCGGGGTGGGCAGGGTTGGTCGTTGCAAGTCTGCGTCAGTACTTCGGGCTGATCGTTTCGGGAACATAAGTAAGGGGAGACGATTTTCTTGTCCTCTTCACGTTCGCACAATACCAACGATTCTTGTACTCCTATACATGGACACCAAAACAAAAATGATAATAATCGTTTATCAAAAGTTTCAGTATGATGACTGATAATATTATCGTCGTCTATATTATTATTTTCAATTGTCACCGTCTAAAAATACTCTTTACTTAAAACTGTACACAACTCGAAGCCTCAATTTTTCACTACTATAAAACACATAATACGATTTACAATACCTTTTTGACCTTTGGTCACTATAATATTATATTATTATATAATTTAAACTAATTCAAATTTTGTTATGAAACCGCGTTTTACGCAGACACCAGACGTACGTATATTATAGCTGAAGCACAGCGTTTTACTAAGAATACACAAACATAATAATATTATTTATAACTCAATAACGCTAAAAGAATGTACAGACGTACAATATTTTTTTAAATAATACAACAATTGTAATAATATTGAAAATATCAAAATATTATTATTGTAATAAATTGATATTTTTTTTCACTATTAAAACCAGCAATTAATCGCTTATCGTAACCTTATATGGTCCAGGCAATACAAATCTAACCTCCAAGACAAGAAGCACTGCAATGCGTAAAGCCTTCTCTTTTCCAAGAGTATGTTTTACCAAACGAACCGGGGGCGACTTTCGGTGGATTGAAATCATCGGAGCTGGCGTCTGCGTATCCATCCCTGATGGACCTCTCATTTTGATCAAATCTGAAATCAAGGGTACAATATTATTGGTCACGAGACATTATATTAATATTATGATGAGCTCGTATAGTTTTTTTTAAAAAACATATCGGTGACATGGTTTACATTTTGTTCAACGAGCAGGGCACCGAGAAGCATTTTTCCACCTCCGGTGGTTTGGGACCGACGCACGCATCGTCTGTTAACTTCGTCATGATCTGAGTGTAATCTAAATGAGCTTTGCAGTACACTTTTCTCGTCCTGATACCATCGCCGCACGTGACGCTGCATGGGCTCCAATTGTCGGAAACGAACCTAAACATATTATCAGTTAAATAAATCGTCATGCCAGCGAATGTGGGCGCTAAAAGTTTACAGTGTGTGTGGAGAAGTTTTTTGTTGGCCGATCAATCGCTGAGCGTGGGCTTGTGAAAAACTCGATTTGGACGACACTTGGAAATCCGAGTCTGCGTCGAAATTTTCGTCTATAACATCACGCGTGGCAAAACAAACACGACGTTAAGTAACAATAGCAAGTAAAATAAACAACTGAAAACACGATACTTTGATTTATTATGTTGGTCAAGAAGAGTATTATATTTTTTTTAACTATTATTTTTGGAAATAATATAAAGTTTTATAGAACAATTTTTCAGCATTTTACCGATCAATATTTTACTGTCCCATTGTTTCTTTGAATTTCATAAATAAATACCAAAACCAATTCGTTTATTGAGAAGATGATACAATTATAATATAGTATACAAATATAGTATTCTACCACTGGAATTTTACAACTTTCGTTCGACAAAATAATTATTTTTCATGTGCAATAATAATATAAATATTATGAGAATTTTAAACCGTAAGTGAATTTAAAATCACTGCAAAGGACATTAAAATATTTTAAAGTAATAGTCATACATCATATTTACACAACGCAGTGGTAATAGTACACCTCGACAGGCAAACACTTTAATTAGACCTCTGGCTTTTTAACCAAAAAATGTAAAGATATAACATTCTGAGTGAATGTACAATTATAAAACGTAATAATACTTATTTTTGGAAGCTTACTATTCTTAAAATGTGAATCATTTATAACGAAAATTTAATCATTTGAACTTTTGAAGCAGATGACACAATTAGTTAAAAATGTTAAAACCTTCGCTCAAAATATTAAAGTTTAGACTTCTGTTTGTTCAATATAATTATTAATCAGTATAGATAGTAATGTAGTGTAGGTACATATATTAAACATTTCAAACAACGCATCAATATATTAAAGACTTTTGTGTTAGAAGATTATCTATCTCATTTATAAAACGAGTGATTGATAAATACTGTTTATAATGTTTTGCACTAAAAATGTTCAAAAAATGCAATTGAAATATTACCAAAATATTTTCTAAATTCGCTAGAGAAAATACATGGGGAAACGTTATAACATTATGTGTATAAGGAATTATTAAACATATGCAGTATCTATGTCGTTAATAATTGTTACGAATTCTTACATTTTTAAATACGCCTACTTTTTTTTTCAAAATTTCAATTATAGAATGAAATAATATGAAAACTCAAACTTTTTATTTAACTTTACAAAACAAATGTTTATATCATCTTAAATATTCTGCATGCTGCAGTCTCCACAAAAAAACAAAACATGCGAATGCAAGAAGTCCTGAACATTATCGATAAATTTCATATTATATACGGCACTTAGCTATAAAATGTATCTATGTAAAAGCACAAACAAACGTTTATTGTAGAACAACAAAATTGATGTATTATATGTGTTAACTGAATATGATAAAATATGATTAAAGTACTTGGTATTCAGTTCTAATCTAGAAAAAAAATTTAAATTTACAGGACATATTTGCGGTATTGATCAATGGGATGACTACGTGACATATACCGTATACGTAACCTAATAGTTTATTACGTTACCTAACCCTTCGAGCGATATATTATAATATATTATATTATACGGTAATCTAAATAATAAGTTCTCGCCCCTGTCATATTAAACCCGACCCACTCGCATCTACTGTGTGGAGGTGCGTCTATACAGAGATTATATAGGTAAGCATATAATATACAACATAATATATTATTTTATTTTATACCTATACATAATATACGCATGTTGGTTTAAAATATATAGCCTTGATCGAGTATTTCGGCGAAGGGAAAAACAAATTACGAGATTCGGGATTGTTTGGTCAGAGTGAAGATTGAACGCGTAAAAGTGTTATTTTTACTACAAATGAATGGAACGGCCCAATAAAAACGATATGGGGAATGATTCGATTAGCCTTCGAGCAAATTTCACGACTGTTATGACCGGCCAGGCTAAACTTGCACGGTTCCTCGGGCGTTATAACACTTATACTTTTTTTAAGGCCTCGGTGCGAAGGCGGAAAGGGTTTATGCGCGTCGAGCCGAGCGGGTTTATATCGATATCGACCGATATAATACAGCTAGTAGTATGAAAAAATGTAATTTAAAATCGCCGTTTTACTACCGCCGTCGTGGTTTTGTAATCGAAAATAAAACGGACTTTAACCGATCTCCGTGTTTTATGATTATATTTATTCACGTCGAAGGTCTCTTCGGGCTGGGTCGTATACATATTATTATATACATCACACATTGTGTGTGCGGAGTGGGCGATGCTATTTCATCCGTTCAATAATAAATTCGTTTGGGTATCTCGACGAGATTTTTCCCACGACAAATCGAGGCCGAATGCAACGACGGCGACACATTGAATTTTCCATTTTTTGACATGCACCCCCGCCAGTCCAGCTGTCGGCATACATGTCGGGTGACTTTCAAAATGAAAAGTATCGTTCCCGTGGGGCGCATTCCCCTCAAAATAAACACAAACCACACACCACCGATCGTGTATACATATATGTAACTTCAACGACGAGCGAATTTATCTTCGGACCATTATTCGACCGCTTGTCACAAGTCCCCCGCGCCGTCCAATGGTAGGAAAAATACCTCGCCACATGTATACACAGAAACGAACGTATAATATAATGTTCTCGTACTTATTACGACATTATAATATATCGTTTTTATAGTTATATATAGTGTACACGAAAGTTTCCCGAGCCGTTAGGTCTCGTGGTCTGCAGCACAACAATCACTTGGTTACAGGACATATTATGGTTACCGAGTTCTTGTGACCAGAATATAAAAGATATTGACACGGTGGTATGTGGTTCCAGCAGGGTGGTACTACACTGATGGATCGACAATCACGTAACAATGAGTGGAGTCCGGGGGGGGGGGAGGCGACTTCATTCACACGTATCGGAGACACGGCTGCTCTTATCGGGTTGTTTGGGGCGTTTTTAAAGCTCACGTCTACGAATAACCAATGACGAACCATATTGAAGCAGCACTTGTAGAAGAAATTCGTAGCGTTATTGGTGAACTTGAACCTACAGTGATGTGTCCACGGTGAGTGATTGTCAATTTTTTGGCCAGAATTGAAAATCGCCATCGAAGCCAAGGCGGATGTATATTATTGTTTCCGATATTATTTACCTACATAAATGGGGGGGTATATTCTACATGTTTACAAATTTTGCTATGTTTAAGTCAAGTTTTCCGAATTAAAGTTTTAACAAAATTAAATCCGGCGTTCTTAATAAAATTGCACTCTGAATAGTGGGTAGGTATAGGTAATAACCACGGTTAGTAGATGACCGTGGTAATAACATAAATAAGTATAATAAAATATGATATAATGTATTTTATTTTTTACTGAACTTACGGTAACATGGCAAGCTCGCTGAACAAGTCTTGGTCCTCCTGGGCTCGGTCATCGGGTCACAAGTCAGATACTTTTGTTTAGATTTGCAAGTAATGTTCCTGATCTGCATTCCCTCGCCACAAGTCGCCGAACACTGCAATACATTTAACGGTGAGTGAACAAGACAATTGGCTATGTATACGATTTCAATATATTATCAGAGACATTAAAAAACTGCATGTATTGTATTCTTCGAGGGCATAACAATATTATGTTTGTATTAAAATGTATATGAGACGGCGGGGATAAACCGGATCTGGATGAACCCAAATAATCCGGAATAAAATATAGGCAACGTCTTTCAACGGAAACCCTAAAATTGCTTTTAGATACATATCAGAAAATATAAATAGATTTCTTAACTCTAAATATCCTAATACCGGTCAAGAATACTTAAAAAAATATAAATAATTATAGGATCGTTTTTCAAGGTCGTTTTTTCGTACCTACATTAGACAATACAATTTATTATATTGGTATGACATGGAATGCGATTTGAGTGCATCCATATTATTGTAAAGGACACTCGAATTGTATCGGATGCATAGTAATAAACCCTACCCAGAGATTTTTAAGGTGATTCGTGTGCACCGCTCTCAACAGAAATAAGTAGCTTACTAGTTAATATTTTAATATCACGCTCTACTTACTTTGGACCATTCGCCTGTTGACCAGTCGGAATAACACGGTTGGATGTTGCACTGTTCTTGAATTTTAGGTTTGTGCCCATGACACATGTGATGCCATACCTGTAACGTAAAAAATATTATAACTTAATTACTGAACTGAATCAAATAATAATATTTGACAACACGACGCATTTTATATAAGTAATATTGTCGACAGCCACCATCAATAAGTAATAATGTATATTATATTTATAGTTGTCATTAAAAACGAATATTAATATTCTCTTGATAAATTGATGATAAAGGTAGTATCAGTATATTTTGATTACATAATATAAGTAGGTATACTTTGTGGAGTTTCCTCGATTTTTTAATAGGAGAAGATATTGTAAACATGTAAGTAATCATACATTTTAATAAATATTGGAGTTAAAACAAATGCACTTATATTGAAGGATAAGGCCAAAAGCTATACGTATCACATTTTATAGTTTTGAAAATGGACAATATTTCCAAAAAAAATTAGAAAACTTTTTTAAATAATTGGAATATTTTGGCTTTTTCAAAATTTGGAAAACAATTATCTTCCAAAGTAGTTAGATACGGCTAGATTACAATTATTAGGAATGGTATATCGCAAATATGAGTAAATTTTTATAGTTTATAGTCTGTTTTGTAGATTTGCTCATTATAAACATTTAATGCATTTTGATACATACTATTTCGTTTGGAAATTATGTTCCTGAATCATCTAGAAACTCTTTTCCGTATTATCCTCTTTAAGTATTAAAGCCACCCAAAAATTTGACTTCCAGGAAAAATGTTCCTTTCGGACCCCCCTAAATACGGCCCTGACCCCAATTAGAGGTTGCATTACATCATTATTTTTCTTAGAGATACTGCGGTTATTGAATAGTTTATAGGTAAGTGTTCAAACAATAAAAACGAAGAACACAATTATATTGAATACAGTGCCCTCTTTATCCTCACCTATGCTATATTCTAATACAATTTATCATCGTGTAAACAGATTAATCAAATAAAATATTGTAATATCCACAACTAATGTAATTATTAATAGTGATTTTTATTTTTAATATTATTACAGTTCAAAACAAGTGCAGTGCTAATTAATAATGTACTACGACTGCAGTCAAAGTGAACAACCGACCCCGCCGTACCCTACTGAAATATTCTATCTCGAGTGAACTAAAACAACGACAACGATATAATAATAAAAATAATAAATATAAAAAGTAAGGAAAAAACCGACGAAAATAAATTACAGTAAAAATTCTCGTTCGAGAATGTTCAATGAAAAATATTCTTAAGTCTGTATTTTTCGAATCCAGCCAAAACGTATATTGTTCATATATTTCATTTCACAACGTGTTATAATAAATATGTTAATGTGTCAACCTCAACAACAAATCGTCTACAATAACATGTTTTCCGTTGACAAACTTCCATTCTCAGATGAACTCCACAATAGGTAGGTACTCAAGACTACCTGCAACGACCGACTCGCAAACTTTCACAAAACGAAATAAACAAAAACGTATGATTTTGATTCGAATTATTATCATCTATCATTATACATTATAGGAGATGATTCACCAGTCAGGATGCTCAACACGACAACACCTTTTTCTTTTTCAATAATACAGTTATTTAAAATATGATTTTTAGAATTTGTAAACATATTTAACGTCTTAACGACTATATTTTCAAATTCTTAAGTTTTTTTGTGGTACTTAAAGATTGTTTAATTTATTTATGTTAATGTTCATAAAAATGTTCAAATTACCTAAAGTGAATGTTACATATATTTTATATTTTTGTACTGTCATTTTTAAGGAATTGTATCCTTAATACAAACTGTTTAGTTTAATAATTGAAAAATTACTTTGCATTTGGTAAATCTACTAAATTATTTACAGTAAAAATGGGGTTCAGATTTAAAAAAAAAACGGAAGTTTATATTACCACAGGACACTCTTTCAGTAAAGAGTAGTAAAATCTCAAGAATTTGAAAATAATGTTTTATTATAATAGTATGAACATGTTAAAAAATTATAAAAATCAGAACATGAATAAATAAATTATTAGATGACAAAATAGGTTTGAGAATTGCTGGGTTAATCACCCAGTATAATACCCCACTGATTTTCACAATAAAAACGAACGGTCGCAAATACAGTATGTCATATTTCCACTTATTATTATACATGCATATTATATAAATATTATTTCAACAATTTATTATGAATATAACTTTAGCAATTATCTTATAGCTGCTCTATAAACCAACAGTGTGCTCAACGTAATTTATAACATCAGTAAACTCATCGAAAATGGTTTTATTTATTTAGTTTTCATATAGAAAGTAAAAAGGTTTTTTTTAGTCATTTATGTGGTAGTTGATCGGTAGTATTAAATGTACATAATTTGAAGCTTATTATAATACTACAGTCCATTAATATTATGACTCATAAATTGTTATGATACTGTGCCACAGGTACAATTTTAAACGCGTCTACTCCAGTTTTTAACTGTCACAGTTCAAGACTTTTCCAAATAATTAAAATTAGAATAATTGTTTCCGTTGCCTGGATGAATTGGAATCACTCGTGGATAACAACAAAAAACGAGAATTTTGAAACGTGCGATTTATTGTATGCAATGATGTAATATGCGTGTTTCGAGTAGGTTTTTCCGGATTAGAATGAGATTGACGCGTGCAGTTTCATTTGGAAAAGAGTGCTGAAACTTATTTTACACATTACACATATCATTTATTTTAATAGATATACAGCCAATATAATAAATATAATTAAACGCCCATCATTAACATTTTTAAATATTTAAATTATAAATATGTATTTTGTGGTTTGATATTTAAAAGTACGAAGTATTATAAAAAAAACCTATTACCTATATTTTAAGTATTTATACAATAAATATTATAGACATTTGTCTGTTAACATTGTCTCCATTCAATTCATAATAAAATAATATTTAATCATTATACAACAATATTTGTACGTATACCATACCTACTTAGGAAAATTTTCGTTCTAAATAAGTAACAACTCTCATAGAAAGGTAAGTATTTAAAAGTTTTTTTAATGTATTTATTTTACATAAATTTTCATTCGGTTTTTAAGAGACCTTTAGTTTAATAAAATATAGCAGCTTAATATTGTTTCCATAAAATGTTTAATATTTTACAACAATTAGTATTTTGATAATTTAATAACAAGTCACAAAAATAATGGTTGTAACTCTTAAATATTATTTGTAAATTGCTGTAATGAAATTTAAAATAGGTTAAAAGAGTATATTTTTTTTATTTTCATTATAATTGCCTATATAGTGCCCCTGATTAGCCCTTAGGACAATAACTGTGTTGAGCTCCTCCAAAGACCTACAGTCATGAATTGGGGATTTCGTGTCAATTATTCTAATCTTAAAAGGACGTGCCTGCTCCTTATACAATTGGCTGCACTTTTATTAAATTATATAATTAAAAAGATTATATTGTTAAATGAAAACTTTTATTATTAATTGTATTTTGTACGAAATATCTCAAACGCTTGGAGCTTCGAGTGTAGACACGTTTATTGAGTTTTATGATACACTACAAAATATGCCACTGTGGAAATGTGGCCAGTATAATTTTTGATTTTATCGAAATAAATATTTTTCGTAACTGTTTATTAGTGTAATACGGGATACAGTCAATTGGTCGTGGTAAAATTGGTCACTCGTAATTGATATTAGTCTTTTGGAATTTGATGTCAAATAAATTGGTCACTCGTAATGGGTCGTCAAAAAAAAAAAAAAAATTATTTTATTGTAAGCCAGGCGATATTGCGTAGGAAATACAAAGAATATGTTTAAACAATATCTTTTAAATGTTCAATAGAAACTAATAATATACCTATACTATTCAACATTTTTCTATGATTATCAGTATTTTTCATTGGAATTTAAAAATGTCTAGTGTATTCCCCAAAGTATTTCGGCCTTCGGGCAAGTTTACGATTCATTGCGAACCAAGCGTTATCGTTATAAGAATATTAAACATTTTTTTTAAATTTGCCTATGATTATTAGTATTAACTGTCATTGAAATTTAAAAATGTCTTATGCATTTTCCTTTGACGTACATTTACCTGCAGGTCACGATAAAAGAATCACCCTGTATTATCATGTGGTAATAAAATATAATATACCTACGTATCCACGTGACTTTACTCTAGTTTAGTTCAAACACTAGAGGAGGCCGACTGTGCTAATTGTAAATCCGAGCGGCATACGATACTGTAAGCCCCCCATAATAGCGTCATTGAGCTAGAGTTATATAGATCTCGAGGTAGGTACTTGCCCGAATTCAAAACACGGCATGTAGTATTCGCATAAAATATAAATGTAAAATGTATATAATAATTTAATACAATAATAGTGAACTTGACCGCATACGTCATCGTATAAATTATTTTATGCACGTCAACCATAATATGCAGTAGGTAGATGAGGGAACGATATTTTACGTATGTAAATGGTAAAATATATGCTCCAGTACTGTGTTTTTAGAACTTTTTCATTTTATTTTAATTCCCTAGTATGTAATATTAATTATTATGTACCAATACCTCAATAATCGTTTTATTACTGCAATTATTATTTAATCATTTATAAATAAACGTACTTTGCAGGATTTGATTGAAAGCAACTCTTTATTTATTAAGTTAATATCAATAAAAATCAACTATGTTAAAAGTTAAGTCAATAAAAATGAAATCCCATTAAGTTTAAAGTTTCAAATTCACTTAACTTTTTAACTCGTTTATGCTCAAAATTAAATTTATTATTGCGTGTATAATATGACCGTAGGTATAGATATTATAATTCAAAATGTCACATGACTCCCCGTCATACATTAAAAAGAGAAAAAAAAGTTCCCAAGTACGCTTGTTACAAACTTTTACAGCCTTACTTTTTGATAATAATCAATTTAAACACCCTTACTGCAGAAATACCGTCGAAATCGATGCTTTTAAATGACGACGGTGACGATCCGACAACCGGATATAAATAATAGTAATACAGTTATAA